TATATATATATATATATATATATATATATATATATATATATATATATATATATATATATATATATATATATATATATATATGTTATAAAATGACGATCTCGGCAAAAATAGTAACTATGAAAGACAAAACTAGGCTGTCGAAATCTTAAGGAACGATAAAATCTCTATTTCTTATGTAAAAAATTGTCTGAGCTACTCATTAGAATGTCATCGCGACAATTTACCTTACATGTATTTTACCACTCTGAAGTTGCACGTTCTTTCCGTCTATTATTTATTAATTTCTACATCTCTTTAACCACTTTGCTTATTCGCAGTCTTTGGCTCTTTGCTCTCGGCTACATTAATCGCATGATTTCGTTTCCGTTTTACGAAGACAAGCGTCCGAGGTTGATATCGAAGAGTAAGTGTACAATGTCGCGTGTTTCTCATCGTACAACCTACGTACACCTACGTAGACCTTTTTTGTTCAAAAGCAATGCTTTTACCATAACGCGCTCTTTTGAGAGAAGTCACGTTGACGCGCGCTCGACCATGAAATAAGACCGAGCCTGCTTTCAGTGGTCAAGTGGTACGAGAAAGATAAATGTCGGGACTTCGTGGTGCAGAGATTGCCGGTGCTTGGCTGGTTGCCGCGGTACAAACCCACGTGGCTGCTGCAGGATGCACTGGCCGGCGTCACGGTCGGCCTCACCGCTGTACCGCAAGGCATCGCTTACGGTATCGTCGCCGGTCTCAGTCCTGAGGTATGAATTATGAAAAAGTAACGCTGTATCAGCCGTGCTCAATGTTCCCGTCGTGCGATGTTGCAGTACGGACTGTATTCATCCTTCATGGCATCCTTCATGTACGTCATTTTCGGCTCATGCGAGAACATTACCATCGGACCAACGGCTATCATGGCTAGCATGATTCAGGACTTGGTCGCGCATTATGGCACCGACATGGCTGTACTAATCGCTTTTCTGAAGGGATGCATCATCGCGCTTCTAGGAATTTTCCACTTAGGTAATTCAGACACTCCCGACAACACAATAAAAGTAATCAATCAACTCTTAATTTATGAAAATCAAATCGTAAAGATGGCTCAGACAAGAGATATTTTGTGCTGTTGAGTACAAACTTAAAAAATGAAGCATACATTGAGAGAAAAAATATCTAAGAAATAAAAAATATTATTTATTAAAAATATTTATTTGCAATGGATACTAATAACGTATTTATTTATACTAATATATAACGTATTTTTCAAATAAGAAAATATACACTTTGTTAAAACCTTAAGTTTTTATGAAAGTTATTGTTTATTTTATTCAAATAAAATTTAAGTAAATTAAATTAATGATTTGATTTAGGTTCAAATAAATATAAATATCTCTATATTTTCGGTACTTATCGAATAAATATTTTTTATTTTGTATATAATTTTTCTCTCAATGTAAATATACAATAAGCAAAATGTGCTTGCATTTCGTCAAAATTACGTATACTCATTTAAAGGTTTCCTATTGGACTTTATATCGTTGCCGGTGATTACCGGCTTCACCGCGGCCGCAGCGATCAACATAGCTTCTTCCCAGTTCAAGTCGCTTCTAGGTATTTCTGGCAGAAGCGAAGGTTTCTTGGATTCTCTGATCGCGATCTTCAAAAATCTCAATCAGATCCGGTACCAAGACACTGCGCTGGGCATTGGAACGATCGTTGTGTTAGTTCTACTCAAGGTATAAGATTCTTGCCATTAGCATAAAAAATACTGCCTCCGTTCTGACATTAAGTTTCAGTTACAAGTGTTTATGCCGTTCCAATTGTTTGCTTTGTGTAAGCAACGCTAATTGCGTTTACTGCGGTAATTATGCTTACCTTAACCTACAAGATGTTAGAATATATCAAGTGAAAATTTACTTCTCATAAAGGGCGCGTTGCTAAACAGCCCTAGGTAAGGATCTCATTTGCTTTCTGTGGTCGACGTGAAATCAACTTCACTTCTCTATTTTATCAAGCAACTTTGGCGCGGAATCACCAGCGGTTAGATACGATAGCTTCGTAATAATAGAATCTTGTTTGTGTGCTTTCTACCAACAGAACATACCGGGACGACGTGTAGGAAACATCCTTCAAAAAGCGGGGTGGCTCGTCGCCTTGTCGCGCAACGCGCTTGTCGTAATTGCAGGCACCGTTATGGCGTACATCTTTTATATTAACGGACAAAAACCTTTCAACTTAACGGGTGAGTGGACAGATTTTTCGTTTAACATCGAAGTCTGTATCGCATTTGATTGACATTTCCGGTTACTGGCGAATATATAGACTTCAGCAATTAGTTCCTTGGGCAATCGCGATTGATTACTCTTCATTTGCCGTTTCCCTCCTTAATTTTTCCGAACTGGAGTCTGAGAGATTTATCATACCATCGAACGCGCCGCGGAATAAATTCGCGATATGAATTTCGTTACGACTGTTTGATTAATCATCAAATTTTGCACGTTTAATATCCGTCTTCGCATCCAGAATCGACATCGATTTTCCGGAAACGTAATTTATTGTTGAAATCGCTACGGATAAACTCGATAGTAAATTTATCATAACGATCATCCAAGTAGAACAATTTCTAGAAAAAATTGGTTACTAACTAGAAACTCTGGTTAGGATTTATTAGACAATAACTATTCAGAAATCAGACAGGAAAATATGGCCAGCATTTCTTGGTTAGTTATTGGCCAAAAGCTAGCTTTTTGGCTATTAGCCAAAAAAATCCTGAATTAAAAATAAAGCTACAACTATCTCAATAATGAATGCACTTGCGTGTTAGAACACTATATAAAATAGTAAAACGCAAATTATTCGACAGAATTTTGTACAAAAAAAGTTTAGTCAGAACTAGTCCAAAACTGATTAGAAACTCACCGGAAACTGACTAGCTTTGCTATGTAGTTACTAGCGAAAGAAGCGTTGCTTAAACTAGCAGACTGTCGCAGGAACTTACACAGACAGCACAATCTATTAAAATATGTTTTAAAGATGTCCAAGGAACGTTTCTATTTCTTTTAGGCGTCTTTTGGACGTCTTTAAGACATCTCTTAGTAATTTGTGTTGTCTGAGTAGCCAGTGACCAAAATTTCTGACCAGTTACTGGCTAGAAAGTAGTCGGTCTTTCTACTTGGGCGATCTCTCACGTTGTTTCCTAAGTAGAAACATCTCAGGGAAAAACTGATTACTGGCTAGTAACTAGATAGTTTTTACTGGCTAGGATTAATTAGACAGTTACTGTTTTGAAACTTGACAGAAAATACTGGCTATTTTTTCATGGCCAATTACTAGTCAGAAACTAGGCTTGAAAAAATAGTAAGTAAATACTGGACAGTTTCTGTCCATTAAAAACTCTGAAAATACTGTTCAGTATTTCTTGGGTAGTTTTTTTATCAGAAACTATGCAAGAAAAATAGTAAGTAAATATTGGATAATTTCTGCCCAGTAAAAACTCTGGAAATACTGTTCAATATTTTTGGGTCAGTTATTTGTCAGTAACTATACAAGAAAAATGGTAAGAAAATGCTGTGCATTTTCTGTTCAGCAAAAAATCGGAAATTACTGATGAATTTTTTTGAGATAGTTCCTGGCCAAAATAAAATAAAACATTATATTAAAGATGAAAAAAAATTAAAAAATAAAAATTATAAAAATATAATTTTAATAGAATTATTGTTTCGACATATATAGTTAAATTATTTATAACTATTAATAAACTGAAAAAATAGATACTGATCAGAAACCGACAAAATGCTTATAAAAAAACTACATAGAAACTAGTAAAAAACTGCTTAGAAACTGCTAATAAACAGATTAGATACTGATCAAAATCTAGTTAAAAACAGATCTGAAACTGTCTAGTTCAACTGTCCAGTTTTTGACGAAGTGAGCGTCTACCAAACCAGTCAGTTTCTAGCCAAGAAAACTGATTAAAAACTAGTTACCAAAAATTCCTGGACAGTTACTGGTCAGAAATTGGATAAATTTCTACTCGGGTTACAAGTCGAATCGTTGCAATGCCACGTCACATGTCACCACGCGATATAGAATAATCACCATTTCACATCCAGATCGCGGAACGACGCCGGCACGTTCTCGTAGCGAGGTACCGATACGTCGGCCAGAGAAATCGTTTCCTGTGCATCGCCACCGTCGCGATTGAAATGTATGTTTCGCACGTCGATACATCGGCTCGCGCGAAACACGAATAATGGGCAGACTGTTTTCAGGATCAATGGGTCAGGGCCTGCCGTTGTTCGCGGCTCCGCCGTTCTCCACAACTTTCCAAAATCGCACGTACAACTTCGTAGAAATGGCTAGTGCGATGGGCACGAGACTGTTCTCGATACCGGTGGTATCGACGATCGAGCACATCGCCATCGCGAAAGCCTTCGGTAAGTGGATTCGGAGCGTTGGATTGTCGCTTTCGCGAAATTACAAAAACGAGGGCTTTAGCGTAGCGAACGAAACGGATTCTTTGCGCAAGATTGAGGATGCACTTCGGTGCGACGCGCTTTTATATATAAACACTGTGAGAAAAACGTACAGCTTCTGTGAAACATATACGACCGGCTTCTTCATTCGCTGTTTCTTGTCCATACGATGCGCTGTTCTTTCCGAGACTCGAGTCCGCTTGCTCATGACGCTAATGGAACGCGGGTTATTTCAGCAAAAGGCAAGGCCCTGGACGCCACGCAGGAGATGATCGCCCTAGGAGTCTGCAATATTTTTGGATCGTTCGTCCGATCAATGCCGGTGACGGGATCTTTCACGCGAACGGCCGTCAATCACGCGTCAGGCGTGAAAACCCCGTTAGGAGGAATATTTACGGGTACGTGAACGGCAAACAAAAACTTCAGTGCCTTTGAACGGGATTTCAACGCAAATCGGCCTGTCCCGTTTGTTAACGACAATTTTACAATTTGACTGCACTCGCACCGTATAACGCAACAATGGTCGAAGCACTATGACGGTTTGGCTCGGGGAAAATGAAACTGAAATTTTGCATGGCAAAAAAATAACTAGTTAACATATGTTAACTAGTAAAACTTTTGGCGTTTAAAGATGTATCTGAGCTATATAAAAATAGTACCAATTTAATAAAAATTTAAGTAACTTTTCTTTAATTATCTATAATATACTGAAAAAAATTTCAAGTTGATTAACCTAATTAACTATCTCTTTTAACTTATCTCAATTACTTTTTTTTCTTTGCACTGATTGATATTGATGTTAAATAAATACGAAATTTAATGTTCTAAAGTTGAATTCAGGGTATTTTCCCTGCCAAAAGTTTATAGAAAGTTGAAAAAAAGCAAATAAAAGTTATAAACTGTTGAGAAAGTAAAAAATAACTTTTTAAATAAGAAATATATTATGTTAGCCACTATTTATATCACTTATCACTAGGTTTACTACACATTAGAAGCAGATATTCAAATTTTTCGTTTTTCACGTTCGTCACCGATTGTATCTCAGATACATCCTTAATATATCTACGGTTTTCTATGCTGAAAAAGGAAAAATATCTAAAAATAGCAAATATTTATTCTCTTGAATTTAAATTATTTTATTCAAATATAATAAACAGTTGTTTTCATGAAAAGCTAAGGTTTTCTTAAGATTTTCAGAAAATATATATTTTCTTATTCGAAAAATATTTTATATTAATATACATAAGTATATTATTAGTGCCTCCTCCCCATCAAATTAATATTTACTATTTCTTAGATATTTTTCTTTCAGTATAAAGAATTCTTTTGTTCTTAGAAATCAACACATTCGCAATTACGGTAAAATTTGAAGAAGCCTAGCTACAGATTATTTCTTTTCTTCCTTGATGTAATTGTGTAAAACAGGCTTAGAATTGGTTTGGTTCAATTAACATGATAATAACGTAACTGTTTTGATTGAAAGAAATAGAATGTTTATGAAACAAATCCGGTTTTGAAAAATCAGAAATTGCGTTGCTCTCGATCAAAACGTATTTATTAATCGTCGTGTTGATTCAACCAATCTTTTTTTTGCGTGCGACCAAAGAATCGAAAGAATTCGCAAGACTATTACATGAAATTGCTTCTTACGAACGTTGCACAAAATCAATCACCAGGGAATCACGTTCCCCCTCTTTCGACATCGATGTAACGCAACGGCTAAACACATTCGGATGATGTGTAGAAATGAAGAACACGTGGAAATAGAAAAGCATAGCCGAGAGCATGCGGATTTTTTCGTCGGTGCATCGAAGCGCAAAAGTAGCTTTATTTGTCAGCGAAGCGCGACTGTGCTTGCTTCGAGCAATACTTTAATTGAACCGTCTTTTCAGGCGTTCTGGTGTTGCTCGCGGTCAGCCTCTTGACTTCCACCTTCTACTTCATACCTAAGGCGACCCTGGCTGGCCTCATCCTAGTCGCGATGTACTACATGTTGGATTTTCCAACGTACGTCATGCTTTGGCGCGCCAGAAGTAAGACGGTTTCTTTTTCTATCTATCTCTCTCCTGTCCCTGTCTACCTCTATCTTTCTCACTGGTTTTTCGCTTTGGTCCGATTCATCAACCCACAGTCTAACCGGCCAGCGTGGCGTCAGTGGCGCACGTTGCACAAAGGAACCGGCGTCAGGCGAACGTACGAATACACCGCCCACACCCGGGATGCATTTGCGCGGTGCATTTGTTCTCGGGAAGCCCGTGCTAAACAATAATGCTCGACGGCGTCCTTGACGGCATTTATTGTTAAGGCGGAACAGCACGGTTCCTGCTAGCTCTCGCCGCACTCGGGTTCACATGCGTTCTCGCGCATAAATCCCGGTGACACCCTCGAGTGCGAATCCGATCGATACGATTGCGCAACGCGTTGATAGAACGGTCAACATGGAACGGTCAATATCGTTCGGTTGCAAAAGGGGGGATCGAACATTTCAAGCCAAATCAAAAATTCGTTTTCATTGAATGTACTATCGTCAAAGAAAGATGCCAGAAAAGAATTTAGCGTGTTTTACGTGGAATATAATAGTGTAACTGTTGCTATGATTCATGATGATGATCGGATTTTGATCGTTGTTTTATTCAGGTCGCACCCATCAATTTGCAAAGTTTGATCTACTTGAGAGACGTACATTTTAGAACGGTCGTGTCGGTGGCTAGAAGCTAAATGTTTTTCATCGTGATAAGCTCGCGGAGATAAATCCGTTGAGCTTTCGAAGGCAGAAGATACTAAATGTGTGAAATGTACGTCGCTCCGCGGACAGAGGCGCATTAATATGGATCTGCCTCCAAATTAATCAAAAATGAATAACGACAGCACCGCAGGGAATAAACAAGAATGACGAAACAAGTCCCTGACGTGGGACACTCTGAATTTAATTTAGCAAATGAACGAAATATTAAATACGTTCTGCGTTGCTTATAAAACAGGTTATAGAAAAAAAGAAACATCTGAAGTACTCTTTATAATCCGTGATATTAATTGACGATGGGAGAAGAAATGGAAGTTTAAAATGATTAGCTCATGGGGAATATGCTTAAAGAGCTAATTAAAATCAGGGAAACCCTATTGCGAAAATCTCTGCGTATTATTATCGCGAAATGTTAATATATTCTATCAAACGAGATTCATGCTTGTCCGCCTTTCAATACTAGCCGATGCTTCAATTTCGGAAGACTAATAACACAAAGATATTTGCATACTTTTATAGAGGTCGATTTCTTCGTGATGGTGCTGACATTGGTCCCAAGCGTCTTTCTTGGTTTGGAAATAGGCATCTTGATCGGCATCGTTGTCAATCTCATGGCGTTGCTGTATTTCTCAGCGCGACCTTCCGTTCAAACGCAAATCGAACAGGTACAGTAAGAACATGGATCGATTGATTGATCGATTCCGCGGTTGATTTTTCTACGTTCTGATATATGCAAAGGATAATATCCACGCGCACTCGATTGACAACAATCCCACAAATAAAAACTCACCCGCGAGAGAGATTCTGATTCATTTAATGTAATGAAACAAAAATGGGGAAAAAGAGAAAGAGAATATTCAACAAATATTATTGTGCTGCACAATTAACGCTGCCTTTTTGAATCGTAGACGTTATATTTTCAGCTTAATCCAATTTGATTATGACGTTATCGCTTAGACATAACTGAGCTATAACTGATTTATCAGCCCTTGTCAGAGATTAATTTCCCATGTTGGTTACTATGCAAAAATCAACATAATCGAGACTGCCTTCGCGGATACACTTCTTTAATTTTCCTCAAGTAACAAATATTCTCCCCTCAAATTCTCACTCTATCGAATTTTTTTAAAGTTCCATCATTTTCATATTGTACAAGTTAGTACTTCATCTTCAAAGAGGACAGTGCCTTTAAAGAGAATGGAGTACAACATCCGGTTTGTTAGTTCCCTAGTTTTTACACTGTAAAAACTGATGTTCTTGTTAAATTTAACATTTCGTGTGTCCCAAATCGTCCACTCTCATTTATGTGTAAATTTAATACAAAATAAATGTGGTAAAAAGTAACACGCATAATATGTATAAAATTAACACAAGAATTTAACACTTGAATACCGTCAGGAATCACAGTTTGTGTTAAATTGACATACGTATAATGTTAAATTAATTAAAATAAAACGTTACTTTAACATTTGAGAGAAGTATTAATCTACGGTTTTGATGAAATGAAAATGTTAAATTGACATAATCTATGTCTGTATATTAAATATGTCAATTTAACACAACCTATGATTCCTAACGGTATTCAAGTGTTAAATTCTAACGAAATTCAAGTGTTAATTTTTTCCACATTATGCATGTTACTTTTTAACACATTTGTTTTGTGTTAAATCACACATAAATGAGAGTGGATGATTTGGGACACATGAAATGTGTTAAATTTAACACATCAGTTTTTACAATGTAATATAAATAAAGCAACGGTTGGACGTAACTGTAATAGGTGCACAGTTGATGTTCAGCGAAAATGAGAACACAGAGAGCCAGCTTAAGAATGCCGTTCACAGATACACGTGTTTTTCCGATCGGCCAAGACATTTGACCCTTTACAAAAAGGAGTAAGCGGATTATATGTTTTCCTTTCTTTGTCTCGAGTATACAGATCGCAGGAGAAACCGTAATAGTCGTGACACCTGAAGAGGCAGTGGCATTTCCAGCGGCAGAGCGTCTGCGTGCTAACATAATGAAGCTTTCCGGGGAGAGTGAATGCAACGTGATACTTGATTGTAAGAATCTGAAGAGGCTCGACGTTACGGTTGCCAAGGTAGGCAGTGAGTTTTTGTTCGTGATCGATATGAAAGACGCCAATGTCTTCTTTAGATAGGCTTCTTTAGATAGACACATAGGGAAGAGGTCGCGAGCAAACAAGCGCACGAAGACAATAGTATTGATGACGCGCATTCTTTCATTCCGCGTTTTATTAGAACAAAACGATTTAATATCAAACTTGCCCTTCCCAAAGTAGCTATAAATTAAAAGTACGAATAAATAATTTCTTGTTACTTTATTACATGTACTATGAATGAACTTATATCTCTGGTAGTTCAAAATGTTAACTACAATATACATGTACATATTCGCAATTATTTGATCATTTTCTCTTTGTGTGCAATTTCACAAGGCAAATTAGCTTATCTTCTAAAGATAAAAATCAGAGAGAATTCCTATTATTATTATTTTTTTTTAATTATTTTATATATTCATTAAAGATAGGAAACTAATGCTTCGCGATGTTATCAATCCAAACTGAGCTTTTGCGGTTTCCATCAGAAGATACTTTTTGCTTTAACGCGACGAAAATCGATATTTCCTATCACGACAAACCAATTGTATAAATGAATCCTGATTGTGACGGAAAATGACTTCGCGTTCTTTAAGCCTGATCTACAATGTGCTTTTTGTTTTCTGTTTCTTTTTCTGGTTTAAGACTTGAGTCAGGAAGAGATAAACCGAAAGAAACAGAAGGCGAACAACACTGTAGATTAAGCTTTAAAAGTGTGAAAGTCACTACGACTCTCAGAGGCGAAGATATCGACAATCGTATTGACTCGCGTTCTCGATCAGTCCGACTCTATTTAAAAGGAGTCAACTGCGGCACGTTTGCTATGAAGCTACGCGTAAAGTCCGCGTCTAACACTCGTAATGCGTGATGGCCTTGCCCCTACTCCGCGTTATATCAGCTGGCCGTTAGACCACGTTGTCACTGACTCCTCAACAATAAAGTAAAAGTACCAATGTCTGGACACGTACCTAACATGTACCTAATTCTGGACATACTTGTTATTTTAGTTTTAAAATATTGAAATATTCAAACTTTCAATATAGAATATATATTATGTTTGATATATATATTATGTTTGAAGATTAAAAATTCGTATTTAAAGTTGATATTTGTATTTAAAATCAAAACAATAAGAATGTCCAGAATTAGGTACATACTTGGTACGTGTCCAGACATTGGTACGTTTATCTTATATAACATGCCGGCGTATACGAATATTAGAATGTTCGAGAATACGCGCGCTTCATACTTCAAAAAATTACGTAAAATTCGATATACAGAAATATGAAATCAAAAAGCAATTTACTCTCGACATTTCTACAGTTTTTTCTACATCTCAAAAAAGGACTGCAGAATAGATTAGCTGAGAAATCCCTTGTACAATAAATCCTCTCTTCGTGTTGGAACAATTCTTCGCCCGTTCTTCAATCGTACAAAAAAGAACGTAGCTCAACAAGTAGAAAACCGAAAATAAAAAAAGATTATTTCACGGATCTGTTCAAACATTGTTTATCAAGCATCATTTCTATTAACGTTGAGTTCTATTAACGAAAATTAAATCTTCATCTATAATACCGAAATATTCTGTGTATAAAGTTTGCAGACTCGACTGTGTATAAAGTTTGTAGAATGCTCCGATAATTAAGTCTAGAGATGCTGTTTTGTTGAAAAATTTCAAAGTGGGAGCTAATAGCTTGTATCAGTCTATAAAGTTGTTCATAGACGCGCAGGTGTATCGGGGCACACATAGAAGGTGAGAACTGTTCGATACAGTGGCCGCAAAGTTTGGCAAATAACCCCGTGCTGGAAAGCGTGCTCTAACAAACTATTATCACCGCCCTCTAAATTCTTGCAACCGCGAGATAGGACGCGCCTGGACGAGTCACCATGTACAAACAGAATTTCCCCAGCGGGAGGCTTAAAGGGACGCGTGTTACGTAACCGTTAAGGAGGATGTGATATTAACTCTTCACGTGTCGCGTTGCGAATGTGGAAGGATTTGAATTTATCAGACAATGAAACACAAATGTTCGTTCGTTTCCGCAGAAAGGAACGTTAATTATTCCTCTAAGCACTCCTTTGAAGCATTAATGAAGTGCCGACAGCTGCGCTTTCAACGCTGATATCGCAATTAACGTAATGTCCGTCTTGCAGAACATGAAGCTCTTGGCAAAGGATCTCTCGCTACACCAACAAAGAATTACCTGCAGTAATTGTGCCGAAAATGTGGTTGCCACTCTGAGGGTTGTAGCACCGGAACTATTAAACGTCCAGAAAGACGAGGATAACCACGACTGAAGAAATAGACAGGATCTCTTTCTCCCTGAATTTTACAAATCTAAATTGCCTGGTTTTAGGCATCGCGCGCACGAGGCTAATAAATATAAATGTGATCCCCCCTTCCTCCGCATCATTAAGCACCATACGACGTTGCTCTTCTGTTTCAGGTAGACAACGTCTTCAGTTACCAACAACGTTAAGCGGGGAGCACACACTCTTGCATAAAGGCATAATGCACAACGCATAAGAAAATTGACCAATCAGAGTTCTCATTTCTATTGTCATGATGAAAATGAAGGACTCTGATTGGTCTATTTTCTCATGCATTGTGCATTATGTCTTTATGGAAGAGTATGTGCTCCCCGCTTTACATTTCATATGTTTTCCTTCGTTTCAAATACATTTTCTACGCACTTTTCTATGCATTTTATAAGCACTAAAAAAACGCATACTTAGAAATATTTACCGATTTAATAGTATAAGAGAAAGATATAACCGATCATATTAGTTATTATATCGTGATTATATTGGATATTATGCAATATATTGCTCGGCTTTAAACAGAATATTATTCAGATTCTCTCGGAACACGTGAAATTTACAGATAGCGAAGGAGCTACGTGAGATTTCTAATACATGTGTGTAGCCATGATTTATATCATGGACATAAAAAGAATCTGTGAATAAAAATTATTTCCTCTGAATCTTCTCCCGTCCTCCGCGCGCGTGCACGTCAGAAATTTCCCTTATGTTTATTCACCCGGGGCCATGACAATCGCGACCCTTTTATACGACTTCAGAACAGCAGCGTTTATAGCCGCTAGAGGCCCGGGTGATATATATGTCTTGCGGGAAAGTAACGTTGGCCGAAAACGTGCCTCAGTTCGTTCCTTTTATTGTTTCCGCCTCGACGAAAGATTCCACCTGCGTGATAATGGTCTTTTGCGCGACCATTATAAGATAAGTAAATCTCAACCGCAGGGGTAAAATAAAATAAAGGAGTACACGTTATGCCCGTAGGAGAAGAATTAACGTCTAATATCTTTTTTTCTAACGCGATACGTGTGTCGAGTATCTAAGTCGATTTTAATAAATTAGAAAAAGACAATAATAAGCTGACCAATGTATGTGCGAATCTTTTCTTTTAAACGATTTTGTCAAAAAATAATTAAATCTGACTAGTTCTAACATCGTTAATTTTCTAATTAGATATTATAATTTAGATATCATTCTTTACTAGGCGTTACTAAGTATGTGTATTTTATTAGTATACACACATCCACATATATATACGCGAAGTAAGCTCGGTAAGTTAAAATAAGAAAAATTTATTTCGCTTTGATATGTACATAAATTCTACCCTAAGTTAATTCTAAAATCTCTGCTACGAAGCTATTTCTGTCGATAGATCAAGGATGCAATAAAACTCAACGATGTAGCAGATGGATTCTTCCTTTTTAAATAGAAAAAATAAAAAAAATTTATTACAACCGTAATATTACGGCTCTCTCTCCCCTTATACTTTAGCCCCCTTATACCAGAAGTATATTTCTCTTGCTTAAGAGAAATACTTCCGATGTAAAAGAATTGAAGAATAAAGGCGTAAGCAAAATAAATTGTTTTTATTTTTTATTCCAATTTACGCTAAACTTATTGCGCGTACTGTAGACGAGTCTATGGGCATGTGTGTGAATGTAAATTGAGTAAGATTACGTGTGTATATGTATATGTTAAGTAAGATTACGTATATGTATGTGTTAAGTAAGATTACGATTTCCAATCTTATATATGCATGTGTTTAATTGTAATGATTGCTACAATATTGATAATGACAAAGCATATCTGTCACCCAATGTATATATATTTTGAATATATCAATTGAATTGTCTCGAAATTTGTTGAAGCTATTCGGATTTCTAACCTTTAATAGCGTAATTCATTGTCACAGACTAGCGCGGGCTCTTATTCTCACTAATAAACAGATACACGGGTTTATCTCACTCACCATTCGGCCGTGTTGTTACAGAATAAAATCTCCTTTGATCCATCGTTGATTCATAGTACTCGAAAATAAGCATCCTTTTGATCTGCCGTTCCGCTGCACTATTTGAAACTGTAAGGATCATTTGATCGTTGTGGAATCGTATATTTTGAAATGGAAGTCAATAGAAGTGGTGGCGGCACATAGCGGAGACTTTGGAACTACATTTTACAGTAACGCTGGTCTGCTAGATTTATCGACGATTAATCGCTAAACAGAGAGAAGCCTGAGAACGGTTAGCCTAATTTTAGTAGCAAGAGCTAGGCGCATTTTCGAGACGCCATCTAACAAAGTGCGCCTCTACTATGTTCATTAGGCGCATTGTCGCGGTGGTAACGATAAAATGCGTTTGGTTCGTGCCCGTTCCGTGCACTTCCGTGCAACGATAGTAAGTTAGAAAAGGACAGACGTCCAATTGCTCTATTCTTGTCTCATCACTGATGAGCGGATCGCGCAACGTAGGCATTAGAGATAGGATATCAAACAGAAATAATCGATTATAAGCTATAATCAGTATCGGTATCGCCCATCTCTACTGTATTTATCAAATAGAAATAATCGTTTATAGATATAATCAGTATCGGTATCGCCCATCTCTAGTAGACACGAAGCGAGTTAGCGGTGATATTTAGAAATGGGCGATACCGATACCGATTATAGCTTATAATCGATTATTTCTGTTCGATATTCCATCTCTACAGCCGAGCGCGAACTTCGGGCGCGATCGCCCACTCGCCGTCTTCATCGCGCCGATCGCCGTTGCTCGCTTCGCCATCTCGCTCGCGCTCGCTTATCCGCCCGTCTGTCATTGTCCATCTGCTAGAGATGGGCAACACCGATACCGATTATAGCTTATAATCGATTATTTCTGTTCGATGTCCCATTTCTAGTGATATTATCGCAAAACTAGATTATCTCTCATCAGTCTCGTCTTTCTCGCGCTGCGTACATCTTACTGCTTATGTTTTTCTATGTGCCACCAGCTTAAGTCCTGATCCACACACACACACACAATAGGTATAGTAAGATTTAAGCCTTAAGAAATTGACCAATCACAGTCAAATTTGAGAAGAATAATCAACTGTGATTGGTCAATTTCTTAATGTTTAAAACTTACTACACCTATTATGGCTCGGGACTTAAGCTGATGGCACATAGAAAAACTTTAGCAGTAAGACGAATCAGCCAATCACAGTCGTTGATTCTTGGACCGTGAAAAGAATCAACGACTGTGACTGGTCAATTTTCTTACTGCTTAAGTTTTTCTGTGTGCCACGACCCTTACGACGGTCGATTTACTTAACCTTTGTGGAGCCTAGAGTTTTTGTTAGAGCCGTTATCTAGGTATTGCTATTACCGATTATTCGATCATCATTATTTCTTTATTATCCACTAGCGGATATTATCATCGAGCAGATATTATCATTACTATTTAATATTCGAATATATTATTAGTTCTTTATTCAGTTTATTTAATTTATTCGGTTATTATTTAATTATTGCTATTGCACATAGGAAAGCAACTCGGGCATGCCGTTACGACAATTTCTTTACCTCGTCTTAAATCAGTTATTATCGCCGTTGCCCAGTTATTATTATTTATTGTTATTACCGATTATTCGATCATACGCCACTAGCTCATCAGTGGTGAGACAAGAACAGAATGATTGGACGTCTGTCTTTTTCTTATTTACTATTATTGTACGGAAGTACAATGGGCACGAACCAAGCGCATTTTATCGTTATCGCCGCGAAAATGCGCCTAACGAATGTAGTAAAGGCGCACTTGGTTAGATGGCGTCTCGAAAATGCGCCTAGCTCTGGTCATTGAAATCCGACTGGTGGCCGCTCTTATGCTTCTCTCTGGTAAAATTCAAGTGCATGTCAGAGTACTCTTTATTTTCAAATACCACTCAACAATATGTTAAAAGACCTCTTTATTTTTAAACAATACAATTTAGTAATGTCAAAAAACCTTTTTATTTTCAAATGATACGACTCAAGGTTGCATTTCACAACATTTATTTTTCGACATCATGACACACATACATATATACACACAGAAAGTCATTAAAAATTCTCAATTATGTCGTTATTCAAAATTAATAGAACTTTTATTATTTTTCTTTTTTAAGTTTTATTCTGTACCCATATAACACAAATGTTTAGTAGATATCCTAAGAACGTTCTAAGAATATTCTAAGAACGTTCTTAGGGTATATATTGAACATTTGTGCTATATAAGTAGTATTATAGGCTCAATTTTGAATTTGGAACATACATATATATATATATATATATATATATATATATATATATATATATATATATATATATA